AAAAAAAAAAAAAAAAAAAAAAAAAAAAAAAAAAAAAAAAAAAAAAAAAAAAAAAAAAAAAAAAAAAAAAAAAAAAAAAAAAAAAAAAAAAAAAAAAAAAAAAAAAAAAAAAAAAAAAAAAAAAAAAAAAAAGCAAAACAGGAAGGATTTAAAGCTGGGACAGACATTTGCCTAATTTTATAATAAACACTGTCTTTTCAGGATCGCTTCATGGATCGGAGAACTTTCTAACCAAAAATGTAAAAAAACAAAAAAAAACCAAAAAAAAACCACAAAAAAACAAAAAACCACAAAAACACAAAAAAAGTGAAAGGACTACTTATCATTTCCAGCAGTCACAATGACAAGTTAAGGTGGGTTATCAGTTCAAACATAGGAAGGGGATTTCTTGGTTCTTTTTGGTCTAAATATCTTTCTTTTTTAATTATCATTTTATAGGTCTGTTGTACAGGCCATTATGTCATACAAGGTGTTTATAATCGTATCAATCACGTTGGGGGTTCCTTTCTTAACTGGTACAATTTAGGCAGGCCTGTATTACTGGTGTATCTCTATTATTATTATTATGATTATTATTATTATTATTTTTATATATATAGTTTGGACGCGTTTGTCTTTGCTCCTGGATTATTTTCAGCGAGCTCCCACACCACGGGGGGAGGACGGGAGGGTGGAGAGGAAGAATGGAGCACAAATAGACTTTCTGTCCTAACCTTCTGGGAACGTTCTGAACAGTTTCCTCATCCTTGAATTTTTCTAATGCCCACTTGTAGGGGTCAGAAGGACTTACCTCCATCGTCTGTGCAGGAAGCTCAGTGTCACAGCAGAGATCATTGTGTGCAAACTTCCAGGCTGGCCTCTGCTTTTTAAGTTGGAATTTTTATTTTGGAATTAGTTCCAAACTGCAGTTCTCTCAATTATTTAGACAAAGTGGCCAAATTCTGCTCTGAGCTTTGTGTGCTTGGCTCCTTTCACTTCAGAGAGCGGGATGTGACCTCCTAGTGCAGATTTGTGTGGCATGGCAATGGCTCTTCTGTTCCAGCGATTTCCTTTGGCTGTGCAAGAGCACACATAAATGTTTAAAAAATGTCAAATTACCCAGGCTAATTGGCAATACGTAAAGCAGCATTTACAATCTTAAATTTTCACCAGGTGAGTTGGCACAGGACTTCAAAAGGTCAGATTCTCCCTGTTCATAGCAATATTCCTTTTCTGATGCTTCCAACGTTGTATTTAGGAAAAAATTTCTTGTAAAGGAGCGCTTCTGGCTGCCAGATGCAGAAGCCAAGAGTGTGGGAGCAGAAGTTGCCATTGTTGATGCCAACACAGCTCTGGGGCTTTGCACACACCTGAGTGATCTCATGTGGTGTCTGAACTGTGGCACCGCTCGCTGAGTAAAACCAGCAATAAGCGTCTCTGACCGGGGCATCGGGGCTCGCCTGTCACTGGAACTTCCTTTGCAAGGTCGGTTCTGATCCGTGTAGCAAAGGATATTTTCGTGGATGAGGAAGAGGTAACAAACTGTACAGAAGTTAGATCCCGATATTCTTAAATATACAATCTAGTACCTGAACCAAAAAAAAAAAAGATTTTTAGAAAGAGAAGACTGGATCACTGCAATGCAGTTCACTTTGAACTTTTCATTCCTGATGGATTTAAAGGTTTCTGCCATGTGTACAAAACTAAATTACTTTTAACCAGTGAGGATATTAGAATAGTCCCCTTTCCCACTCACCCCCCTTTCTTTTGTCACCAGACTGTCCTAAAGTAATGAGCTGATACAGCTGTTTTCATTATGTTGATGATTCAGGGGGATCCTGGAGCTTCTCATCCAAGATCCAGAAGGCACCAACTTTAAACTCTACATATGCTTTGGTTTGTGACCTGAGCATGTGGGATTTGTGTTTGCACTCAAGTGGCAGAACCCCTTATCTCTCCCCCCACCACCATGATTTTGCTCTGTTCATCTCTAACTCTCCACCTTCCTGTTTTACTGATATTTAAACCAATTACCCCTAAAACTTCAAAACTAGTGAACTGCAAGCAGGGAAACTAACAAATGTCCGTCCACCGTTTCTTATGTGGTTTTAATTTTTTTATGTTTTATTTTTTTAAAACTAAGCTTGAACCAAAGTCAATTTCTAGCAAGCTGCTGTACTAATGGACTAGTTTGTATAAGTGCAGTTCAGATGCAGAGAGGCGATAGATGCTACTGACAATTTCTTTTTCATTTGTCTTTTGTTTTTATTAATTTTATATAAAAGTTGCTGCTTGGTTTTATTTTTTTTTTTTTGGTAATTTGTGTTATCCTTGGGACAGACTCTTAACTTGATTTTAATTTGTTTTCTTTTATTTGATATGTAAATAGAATGGCAATGTCAGAGGATTGCTAATCCAACAGGTCCCACCTTTATCCCCCCAGTATGGATGAATCTAAGTATTTTTTACATGTCTCTGTGTCTTCAGGCTGTGTGGGAGACTTTTAGGGCTATGAATAATACTGGGCCACAGTAATATCTTCAGAGCAGTAACAGATATAGCTGGGTGAGCTTCAGGGAGGCAGGGGAAGAGTAGGAGATGCTGGTACCCACTATGTTGCCTGGAGGCCATAGCATGGGCTATAGTTTCTACCAAAGGAATGCCAAGTCCCTGGGACTTGTCTTCAGTGAAGTAAGAGGATGGGCAAAACTGCACCTATAGCTTTGGTTCCTGGCTCTGAAAGTTCCTGCTTACTTCCAATGCCTGTGCAAAAGTACAATTTATCAGAAGGCTTTTTTTTGTTAAAGGGAGGATACTACTGGTCTTTTCTCCAGTGTATCCTCTACTCCCTAAGGGTGTTGTGGCAGGGTGGGGGAGGATGGTCCTTGCATATGTCTAGGAAATACAAAGAAAGGCGGGCCTTAAATCAGTGGAAAATCCTCTCTCCAGAGTTCAAAGAGACTGTGCCATTAGCTGTCTGAATGAGTTTTCATGTCCCATTCTTGCTGATTTGTGGTTGGGAGAGAGTCTTGTTGAGTACATATCTGGAACACTAATGCAGCTTGGATGGTTTATTTATTATAAAAAACTGCTTTTTTTCCCTGACTACCTTTGCATTGGTCACATGGCTTTGGTGTGAGCACCTTATACCCCCTTACCCTCCTCCTGTCTACCCCATCACCCTCTCTGGGGCCCAGATTCCAGGGAATTTCTTAGCCAGTCTTTTTCTGAGAGAAACTGGAAACTCAGTAACCACATATCCAAGAAAGAGCTTGGGTTTGCTTGCAGAAGCTGACATACTACCCAAACAGGACATATCCCATGGCATCCATTACCAGTGTACTCTGATTCATTGTCCTAAAACATCCCAGGACTGTCGTTCCTGGAGCCTGCTTTTTGTCCCTATCAGTGTTTTTCTTGATGGATGCTGGCTACCTCTGGTGTTTCGGTGAAATGTGGAAATCAGATTGGCAATGAATGTACATCTGCCTAGTTAGAGCACGTGTGCTCCTTCAGCACATGAAAAGAATATAAGGTCATGTACTATAACTTAGCGGAAGTTTCCTTTTAAATCATAATCATGCTGGCAGCAGAAATTGATGTGTATTAAAAGAAACAATAACAATTGTATACAGGCCCAGTAAATATGATCAGAAGGAATTTGATGGTGTTGTTGGAAAAGGATAATAGCATCTCTTTTTCAGAGCTCCATGTCTCTGTATTTAAAAGTGAGAGGGTTGCTTTTTATAGTTACAATCATGTCACAGTAGCCATGCAGGAAAAGAGAAAGCAAAAAACTCTCTCATTATAGATGAGAACAGTTAGCTCAAAAAGCAAGAGATTTACAGAGGCACAAATACAGAAGGTCAAGAATAATTTAGAAAATGGCTTCAGGAGGAGGTGTAGCCTTTAAAGCTTTTCTGATGTTAAGAAAAACATGTTTTGCTTTAGCACACTTTGGCTTTAGCACACTTGATCTCCTCAGAACACAATAGTTACCATAGAATGATTTATGAACAGCCCTTAGAAAGTACACACAGATGTGACTGCTTACAATAGTTACATCTGTGTGTTTAAACTTCCTTAAGAGGATTTATTTTGTTTCTGAGTTACTGTACAGTATGTGTTAGTCTACGTACATTTTTGTCATGTTACTCTGAGATGGTGTGTATGTACATATACACTTCTCTTGGAACTATGACCTAATGTTTAATGCCACTGTGTAGACACATTTCTGCAGTTGAGTTAGTAAAGGATGCAGCAGTGTTAATTCCCTAACTCTGTGCACATTCCTGCAAAGCAACATTCTTTAAAACAGAAATTCTCTCTCTTTTGTTACAAATGGAAGAGCACAGCCATTACAGCTGGAATCCTATCACAGATATTAAACCAAAAACAACATCTGATTTACCTTAAGTATTAATTAATATTTTCTTAGATAAAGGATCTTAGAGAGACAAGTAGCTTCTCATGATCATTAGAGTGCTTTAGGTCAGACAGAGTAGTGCATCTGCTCTGAGCTTTCAGTGCTACTTGTTGTCCAAATGGAAGCTTAAAATTTAGATCTCTTTATTGCCATGTTAACTTCATGAAGAACCACTGTTCTCTATTCATGTTCTGCTCAAAATGGTTAAAGCATGTTTATCCACAGGGCCTGGGTATCCCTGTTGCACATACACCTGACTGTTGCCTAGGGTGGAGTGTTACCAAAGGAGTAAGCTGGGCTGCTGCACCCACTGCATTCTCACACAGCCAACTCACATTCCTTTGTGTTTTTGCAACCAGTATATCTTACCTGTCCCTCCCAAAGTACTATAGCAATACACAATTCAAGATGCCTACCTTGCACAAGTTCTACCCTTTTCAGTCGTTGAATCTCCTGTTGCTGCTCGTGAGTTTTTTCTCTTCTTTCCAGCAGGGAAGTCCCCTAAAATACTTAAAGATATTTGACAGAGGAGGATTTGTGGAAAAGTTGCTGGCTCATGGTTTGCCATTTCTTAAAATGTTCATATCTTTGTGATCTGAACGGTACCTGGTTCCCTCTGTGTCAGTGCAAGCAGTTTCACTCCTTTTGGAATGATGAAAAGCAGTTCCTCTGCTTGCATATCTTCACACATGAACACACAAAGTAACACATGGGAAAAACTTGGTGTTTTTTCAGTTTATCTATTTTCATTTGATCTGTCTGCCACTTCTCCCAGGATACTCCTTTTACCCCCTTGGGATGCTGTTAGGAGGGTGTTAGGAAGATTGCACTGTAATTAGAAATAGTTTAACTGTGGGAGAAAAGACATCTTTTAGTCAAGTAGACAAATAAGGTCAGCATGCAGAACGTATCAGGTACTTCATTTCTGCCCAAATTCCTAAACACAGAGCAACTACTGAGCTTTGTCTCAGGGCTGCTTTCAACTCCATCAGTGATACCCTGCTAAGAACCGTCCATGACTGGAATAATCTGGGCCCCCTTTCTTCCTTCCTTCCCTCCTCACCTCTCCCTTCTTGTTCCTTCCCCATCTTCCCTCAGCAAAAGGTAGCACCATACAGCTCTGAGAACAATACTTGTGGGTAGCAGCTGGCTTCTGGCACCTTCATAAAATACCTCAGCATAGCTTAGCATTGTCGCAGAACTGGTTTTAAACTGAAAAAATCAGAAGAGAAAAGCAAACTTTATAAATAGTGGAGATAATTCTAGCTGTAGAGTTTAGTTGAACTGATGTTTATTATGATTGATAAACATGATTATGCTGTATGTATTTGAGATCCTGTTTATAGGTTACAACTTTATAGGGTCGGGTGGGGGTGGGTGGATGTTGGGGGCAGAGAAGGGGGGTTTGACTGTGTTAGAAGGAAAATGTTTGCTCATAAATTTTTTTCCTTGTATCTGTCTTGCCAAAGGAAACATTTTGTCGCTCCTGGGTTTGGGATTGTTGTTTGGTTGGTTTATCTGTGGTCTAATCTGCAGCACAGCACGTGGTGGCATGCAGGTTACTGATGGGGTTGCTGTTCAGGGTCCTTTCGAGTGTGCGCACACTTCCCTCCCTCTTGGCCTTTCCATGCCCTTCGCCGGGATCTGAAGATGAGGCAACACGTACCCGGAAGGCTCGGGGGAAAGGAGATGGCTGTACTGGGTTAGAATCAACCTCGGGGGTGTAAATCTGTTCCAGTTGAGTTGCTCCAGAGCTGAACTGGGTCCATTGTGTTTAACTTCAGGAAGGGACAAGAATGGTTGTCACATCTTAATCTTATCTGGGAGAGCAAAAGTGAAACAGGTTCCTTTTATCCCCCTTGTCTTGTTACTGAATGTAGGGCTTGTCGTGCTTGATAATAGGTGGAAAACTTTTTAAACACTTCCTTTTCTAATAGCAATGCTAATCCTGTCTAGACCAAAAACTATGAAAGAAAAAACCAAACTGAGAGGTGAAAGCTAACCTACTCCTAACACCTGGCTGATCTGCCTGAAAGGGTTGAAATACTGTGAGACAGTTGTGGGAGAGGAGCTTTGAGGTGTTGTTGGCGAGGGAGTGGGTCATTCTCCTGGCCTATGTCTTGGTGTTGCAGTGGGAGTAGCAGAAGAGCGAGTGGTTGTTGCATTGGGAAGGGTGTTTCAGCCCACTCCGACTGGACTCCAAGGCTCCCTTCCCGTTTCCTGTCCAGGCTGGCGGAGCAGGGGAAGAGTGGAGGGGTGTGCGTGGGTGTGTGTGCGAGTGCGTGTGTGCACCTGGCTGTGAGCGATGATCCAGAGAGGTGGGTTTCTAAAGGAGCTCAACTCCACTGGGGCGGGAGAATTCCCAGTGGCCTCGTAGGGAACCAAAGGCACTGATAAATTGTCAGCTCTGCTGTTTTCAGAGCGGGTAAGAGGAGAAGCTGGGTGGGGTTTTTTTGAGCTTTGGGTCAGTGTCCCTTTCTCTAAGGACCTCATCTCTTTCGGGTACTCCCGCCTTTTCTGCACAGAGTTGCTTTGGCTCTGTGAAGACAAATAGTGGGTGGGGTTTGCCCAGTGCTGCAGGTCTTAGGCTGATATTGGGATACAGTCAGGGAAAACTGTTTCTTTCCTTCAAATGTGGAAGCAGTGTAGTCCAAGGTCAGAGTCTGTTCAACAGCTTTTGCATGTGGTCTTTCTCTTAAGGGAGGGATCTTGAAGACTCCTTGCTTTGCTCCCCAAAGCAGCCTTGTACATGTTCATATGTTGTGCTATTGGGCTGAGCTGTTTTATCAGTGAACTTGGTGAGCTCTTGTGAAGAAAGGGAGGGAGGAAGGGGGAGAGGCGGATTGTCCAGCTACTCTTCCTCCGGACACCAATCGGGTTGCAGAACTTCACTGAAAGCTTTACTAATAGAATTGTTGTTCTGACATTATGTAAAAGTGGTATTAATATTGTGTGACTTTTCAAAGAGCTAGTTAGATTTATAGATAGGTAATAGGGATATTGAAGAAATGACTTCTCAAAGAAAAGAGCACTTGGAACAAAAGAAGTGGAAAACAAGGTGTGCTTTATGGAAAACAAATCTGAGGAAGGAAATGAAACAGCTTGTGGGAGGCGAGGGAAGATGATACCCTTTGGTGTTCCTTAGTGCTGCTGAGGCTCAGCCCCAGAACTGGAACAATACCCCCTCTGCCTTATTTCATCTCTCTACCAAACAGGACATTGTCAAGTAGCTCAGACCAAAATGCTGATCTGTCTTAGATCTATGTTAGTCTGCTGGTGAATATTCTCCGGCAGAGCTTTACATAATACCATAAGATACTTAATTTATCACGTTAGTTTCCCCTTTCCTCCCAAAATTGTCTTATCTGTTGTAGGCCCCACTTCAGGATTCACACTGCCTTTTCTGAATTTTGTAGCAGCAGCTACTGGAGCCCCATACCCTGAATGTCGTAACTTTGTGTGCGTTCAAAGCCGGCATGTTGAGGTGCTATAAAAACCTGAAATTATTGAACTATAGAAATCCTGAGACCTCAGGAATGGCACGTCAAGGGGCAAATCATGGAGATAGCACAACCCCCTTGGGAAACAATTTAGGAAAAAGAGCACCTGTGACAGTGTCCTGAGAACAAGGCAGTTAAGACAAAACCTTTAGTTCTTCCCCCATTCACTCTCCATGTATCGGCCTCTGTGACCCCGGTGCTCCCTGCACCTGAGCGAGTCCAAGGGGAAAAGGCAAAGAGGAAGACTTGGAGATCAGGGCCGCTCCCCGCAAGTTCCCGGGGAGCCGGACTGTGCCTCCCTGCAAGCCAGGGAAGGGAAGGGACCGCTGCAGAGCCGCCCATGGGTGGCTTGGAGAGGGCTGGAGCAGCACTGGGCCCCGAGGGGTGCCTCGTGTGCCAGCGATCCATGGGAAGGACCTGGGCAGTAGCTTCTGCGTCCCCACCAGTGCTGTTCCATTTCCTTCCTCTGTGGTAGTGTCAAAGGCTAGGTGTGAGTAGGTGTGGGGTGTTTATCCGCCACAGGTACAGGAGCTGTCGTATACCTCATTTCTAACTCGTAACTGAGTAACTTGCTTTAACTTTCTCCAAACCCCACAGAGTTGCCAAGTCTGCCCTCCCTCCTTTGATTAACACTGAACTCTGGCCTATAGCACCCCGTGACCTGCAACCTGGGGAGATGACCCCCTAACGCCTCTGAATGTCGCTGCTTAAAAAGCTACTGCAAAGTGAGGGCAAATTGCAATCTTATCTTATTTCCTTTGGTTACAAGGGGTCCTCTTGATTAGTCTGTGAATATCCACCCCCTCCCCTTCACTCTCCACGGAAAAGGGCCACCTGCACTGCCTTTTCCCAACCCGGGCCCACACTGAACTCCAGGGCCCGGAGGCACTCTCAGCCCAGTGCTGCGTACATGCTACTCACTTTTTAAACATGACCAAAAAAAAACAAAGGAAAAAAAATAGAAATCTCCAAATATTTAATTTTCTTCTTTATTATTTGACAATCCTATATCCCTTCCCCCACTCCCCAACCTGGCCAGAAGCTGCATCCTTAACCCGGTCCATCTTTATTTGAATGTAGTTCCCCTACCCCCATGGGAAAGAGAAGCTTTGTCAGGTCACGGTGGCTGCTATAAGTCGGGAGGGGGCGGTTTCTTTGTTTTGTTTTGTTCTTGTAAAATTTCCAGCCAAAACCAAAGATTTCCTAATGATTGTATAAACTCAAAACAAACAAACAAACCAAAGACAAAGGGCGTCTTCAGCACCAAGCCCATCTGTGAGGCCGCTCTTGCCAGGGCAAGAGTCTCTGCCAGCTCGGGGCTCCGAAACACCCCAGGAGGAAATTCCCTGCTCCGGGTTGAAATCTGGGGCGCAGGCGCTGGGAAGGGGCGGCCCGGGGGGGCTTCGCAGGTGGGTTGAGGAGCTGAAGACTTTGGTGCAGGATTGGCTGCTCTGCTGGGTGCTTTAACCCTCTGGGGGCTGGGTGATGTCGATTAATACACGCTGAGGTGCACTTCTGAGCTTCCCCCCCCTTCACTGCTTGGAAGAGGCTGTCCTGTTGTGAGAAATCCCTGAAAGAAGAAGAAGCAGCTTTTCATTTCTCCTCTAGTTCCTTTTTTCTAGATTTCTTTTATTTTTGCAGCACCACTGTGCAACTATGCATTGTATTTCTCAACCTTTTATGCTAGGTAGATGCCTGTGACTTTTTAACTTTTTGGGGGGGATTGCAAATGGAGGAACTTTTTACATGGATCTTTTTAATCTCAGTTGATTGGGGGGTGTTTGGTTCTAGGGTCATACAAGCTCTATCCCAAAGCAAAATCCAAATGTTAATATTATTAGCCTGATGCAGATACCAAAGATAATTTCTTTCCTGCAGAACCTTAGACTTGTGTATTAAGTACGATTACCCAGCACTTGCATTAGTCTAACCTCAGTAATTCCAAAGCTTAGATGTATATTTTGGTATATTTCTGGGATATTAAAAAATTGTCGTTTAAATTCTTGTTTGTTTCAGTGTAATGCTCTTAAAGTCATAGCATGGAGATAACTGAACTTGTCCTATTCTTAGTAGTTTGAAATAATAGTATTTTTGTATGTTTTGAGTGTGTCTATGTATGTATTAACATAACAGTTTTCACTGCCTAGGTGTTCATAAATAATAAAAAGGAAAAAAACCAACTGCAAAGGGGTTTTAAGCTGTACATAATATTCCATGAGGAATTTCCACCAGACCGCCAATTTGGATTGCATTTTCACTGATGATCGCTCCCAACTGGGATTCTTTCTTTCTTTTTAAAGAGACAGCATGTTCTTTTTTTTTCCCCCCATTGACCTGAGGTTCTTTCTCAGTGTAAAGGGGTTTTCACTGTTTTTAAGGGATGGGCCAAAGAGGAAGTAGCTTAAATTTTATTTTAAAAAATAATAATAATTTAACATGTTAATTTGAAAAGTACCCCTTTGTATGAAGAACTGGGAGTGGAAAACCAAGCCTTTTCTTCTAAATTCGGTTATAGTTTCCAAAGAGATGAGGATTTGTGAATGTCTGTAGCATCTGGGCAGTCCTTTTTTGCTTTTTTTTCCCCTAAATAAGGCAAGTTTTTGGTCCTAATGGTTTCACTGCTCTGTGCAACTGCCTGCTTACACCGGCTTGGAGGGTTTTTTTTCTCTTGCCCTTCCTCATACACTGCATTTATACACTTGAGGTCAGCAGAACACTTGAAATCAAGGGCCATATGGGAGTACCCTACCCAAACCCAACCCAAGCTTTTCTTGAGATTGAAATGTGAGAGTCCCACACATTTCAAAACCTTGCTGATCACACTAAGGGTGAGGAGGAAGGCGAAATGCTGTCTCTTTAAAGATGTCCTTTATAATTATTGTTATTATTATTATTATTATTATTATTATTTTCCCAGTGGTTGCCTACAGATAGCTGTAGGCATTGAGAGATTGTGTAGATTACAGTAAATCAGAATGAAAAGGTAGATTTTGTGTAGATGCATTTGTCTGCTGTAATTTTTTATATATATTAAACTTACTGTAATTGTACAGTTAATTTCTGTTGTAAACATCATTAAACCATTTTCCAAGTGTTTTAACATGTATGCAGTTGTTTGTAGTTTTTGAATGTGTTAGGGGAGGTTGATTCCCCTTCCCTCCATGGATCAAAGTGGGCCAGAAGATTGGTCCTTCATGCCCTTTGTCTCAGACTGGAGGAGAGAGAATGGGTTTTTTGCACACTGCTTGAAGCTTTTGTTCCACTTCTCTATTTATCAGCTCCTCTCCTAGAAGCAGAAACATCTCCAGTTGCTTCCTGAAGGCAAAGAGGAGACTCAGCTCACACCTACGGAGAGTGTCCCTAAAACAAGTGTTTGAGTCAAAGTACCCTTTTATATATATAAAGAGCATAAAGGTGATATTTTTTTCCCTAGAGGATTTCATTCCTATTGTTTAGTGGTTGGTATTTTATGCTGCCAAAACTTATAATTTCTACATCTTGCAAATATGGTTGTGATTATTTAAAAAGAGAAAGCTGTTTTCAGTACTATTTGTTCTTGCATTGGTGTTTTGCAGCAGTAACTTTACTGAATTTTTCAGGTTAGCTGGCTGAGGTATCCCCCAGTTCTCTCAGATTTTTCTTGTCATTGCAGAAGAACACTAAGGGATCTAGGATTTTTTTTTTTTCAAGAAACATTCGTTACCATCTCTCAGTTTACTTTTTTTCCTCTAATTTATTGGAAATATTCTTTAAAAGCTACAAGCACCTACTACATGTACAGTTTTACTGCTGAAGAAGTAGAACAACCTTGTCACTTGCATAGCAGCAACTTCAGCAAGTTTTTCTGCTGCTAACCCACCCAGTCCCTGAAAAGAAGACATAACTTCATCCAGGCAGAACTTTTGTTCCCACAGTCTTGCTTTAGCTCTGCTTCTTCAGTGAAGACTGACAAAATGAGCTGGTCAACTCCAGACTCGAGGTAAAGCTTTATTTTGCTGAGCTGGTTTTGTCCTTGCTGAGTTCTTGCAGGTGTCATTGTGCAGCTTGTAAGTCACAGGCAAAACTGAGGCTGCAGCAGCAGGAGGTGAGTGTACCTTTTATACTGGGCCTTGGGGCATTTTTCCAAAACCCCATCCCACTGCTCAGGATTTGTTTAGAAGCTCCTGTTGGAATACTGTCCTCCCCAGCTTCCCTGGAAGATTTATGCTGTTGGGTGCAAGTCAGTTCAGCTGGGCTGAATGTGACAGGTCACAGTCTCAGCCCGTTCTCACACCTGTTCCCTGCACACACAGGTCTGCCACTGCCTTTATTAATTCATCAAAATTATTGACCTAGTACCTCTTTGGAATTACACCTGCATCTTTTAGAGGTAACCTGATGTTAGACTGGTTTGGAAACTGGATTTAAATTGGCTTTTGTACAGTTTCTGTTGCCCAGAAGTGATATATAGGAGTCCATTCTCCTTGTTTTCATTGTAACAGGGGTATCATCTTCTGCCTTTTGAGAAGTCTCTCATGCAGATTACTTGGCTCATATTTAGCTCCAAGTGCTGGATGAATGGCAGTGCCACTGCTTGATCTTTTCTTGGAGCTTGGTGCTCATTTTTTTCATGTTGAAATGCTGCCAGTCAGCCTCAATCCTGCATTACACTAACATCACGTCACTTTTTACAATTGAAGAAAAAAAAGTAATCTGGAGCACTTTTTTAAAAACTGAAGCAGTTTTTAAAAGGCAAATTTAAAGCAAAAAGTGTCAGTCTTAAGATAAATACCACAGGAAATAACTACAGCCCTATCTGTTGTATAAATGCAATGTAACCATGATACCCCTGTATCATGTCATGATACCCCTGCTAGGCAGGGCAGAGCTGTGGAAACAGCTGCGTGTGTTAAAAGGGGTATTCTGGTCTCACAACACAAACCTTACAAACAAAACAAACAAACAAACAAAAAAATCAGCCTAATAACCACTATTATTGGAAACAACTTTACAGATATGTACATTTTAATAGCAAAAGCTTGCAGTTGCATGATTCAGGAGGAAAGGGTAAAGGGACTGGATGACTCCAGACACACTCCCTCTGTGCACCAACCAAAGGAGGTTATTGCACAGAGAAAACACGCAGTGCTTGTGTCAGATGAAAAAGGCTTCACCTCCTCTCCCCACCAAAGCATGTGGGCATCTGTCCTTCTTGCCCATCCCATCTGTGACTCCCACTTAGCGGGGAGGCAAAGTCTGCATTTGAAGAGCATCATAAGTGTCCTTGGTGGCTGCACTGAGTCCCTGAAAAAGAGAAAAACAGGTGAGGGACAAGTTCTCCCTAAAATTTCCCTTAGTGCTGACTGGCCAGCCCCAGGGTGGCAGGGGCTCCACAGCATAGTTCTAATTTTTTTTTCCCTGCAGGGAAAATGAGTGATTCCGTAGATTTTGTACAGTGCCGATAGCTAACTGTCACTTATCTGAAGGCAAGGTACATTCTGAATAACTGTTATGAACATATGACTACAGCAACTCATCCTAACTGGTTATGAAGATCTTTGGAGTGCATTTTATTTGCATATTATTAAGACCTAACTGATGCTAGAGTGAACTCGGGTAACTAAATGAAGACATCAAATCATGAACTTTGTTCTCTAGATTTCTCTTTGATTTGGAAAAGAAGTCAATGTGACTCTGGGTAAGTAAGTTGGCAGCAGAGCTTCAGATGGCTGTGAACCTCGGGAAGCATCCCCTCACGTCCCCTCCTGCGACTCCAGAGTCCTTTTCCTGCCAGTCTGCTCTGGTAAGTCAGCTGTGACCTGTGTGTTACGGATCTCTGCGGCAGCAAGGGGAACAACTGCTCCAAGAGCAAGGCAGTAGATGTAGCAGGCTTGCAGGTCAGCCCAGGAGCCTTCCAGAACAGAGATAACTGGGGCTTCCAACAGAGAGGATCTAGCGAGACACCTGGTGCCTGCTTGTAAAACTTCCAGCTACCCTTCACTTCCCTGCTATGAATATTCAGTAGTGTACTGAGAACTCTGGGAGGTTGGTGCTACTTATGAGGCTCCTGTGATATCTCAGTAAAGATGGGCTTGCAGAAAGGTGTCTTTAGCTAAAGAATCACTGTGTTACAGGAAAGCTCCCTGGCAGGTGCTGCACCTGAAGAACTTTTTTATATGTACTGTATTTGTGTCATTTTGAGATGTCAGTACAATGTACAGGCTTCTGCAGAAAGTAAAATGCATTTTGAAACAGTTATGCCTGGTGACCCAGCTAAGACCTTACTGAGGGACTCTGTGCCCTTTGTCAGATGTGTGCAACTCTGAACCCCTGCAGTGCACCAAGGGACTGGAGGTGCTGAGCAGCCTCTGTGCTACAGCAAGGGGGCCTGAACCACTGATGCCCTGAGTTACAACAGCTGCTTGGCAACCTCTAGGTTTCCATTGAAGCAATAAAAAATGTGGAGACAGAACTCTGTGCATCGTCTGTGCAGTCGAAAGGTGCTTCTCTAAGGTGTAGGACCATGGAAATGGTTCCTACCAGGGCAGCAGGTGTATTTAGATTGTGCAGCCACTTTATCAAAGTGCCATCAGTGCGGCCTTTGCCCTGAATCTCCTCAGAAAGATGCTTTGAAAGCTCTGTTTCATCACGTCCCACTGACAGTGCAGTTGGATATGTAATTACGGGCTACAATTAACCCATGAAGACAGATGAGGGGAGCAGCTCCTGGACCCGTTGCCTACCTGGTAGACACCTTCGCTGCCTTTGCCTCGCCGCCTCTGCTGCTTTGGGAAAGAAAAATAAGGATAGATTAATGGGTATTTTTCCTTATCATGCAAAAAGGAAGAACTCCCTGATTTCCCCCATCCTGTCCTGAGGGTTGGCAGCTGTGCTTGGCCTGGACCTGCTCTTCACAAAAGGGAAAGCACCTGCTAAGTCTGGACCAGCCCTGACACACTGCAAGGGCTGTAAAGGAGAAAATAAAGAAGATTGGAAATAAAAGGAAATTATTTTGGTTTGCTGACATATTTTTCTGTCATACTGTTACAATGCTGCTATTTCTTTGATTTACTGGATGTATAGAGCTTTGGAGGCATTCCTATAGATGCTGATTATTTAGTATTAGACTATCAAAAACATGTGGCAAGGAGTAGTGCCTGCTACAGTTAAAATTGCAGCAACCTCTTAAATGGTCATATATCTAGAATGGGACATGAGTTTTGGTGTTCTCATCCCTCCAGGAACAGAAACATTCATAAAAACACAGTGCAGCTTTATAGACCCATAGCTCATGAACAGAGCTTGACTATGGCAATGGGGCATCAGAACACATAAATGGGGAGGAGATTACATGTCAGTGTTACTTCAGCATTTCTCAGCACTAAACTTTGCTTTGAAATGCCTCTTTTTTCATGTTTCAGAAGGAAATGAAAGGTTATATATATATATATGACATTTTGACTTAATATAGAACCTCTGTAGGTCACAGCAATTTTTCATTTTGCCATAAACAAGTGTCCCCAGATGGTTTGTTTTCAACACCAGCTCCCCTCCCCCAGCAGCTTGTGCACATAGCAAAACCTGTCCATTTGCTGTAGCTGGAGATACGACTGGTGTGTACCTTCTTGAATGTTTGAGAGGGAAGCTGGAGGAAGGAGAATGTGTCCCCCCTTTCTTGTCTGAAGACAGGCCCAAGGAGGAGCTTGCACATGGTTTCCTGTGCCTGTAATGCCATCCAGCCTCGGCAGCCCTTGGAGGGGGAATGGTGAACTTCCAGCTCCAAATTGCTCTAGAGGAACGTGCTCAGCTGCTGTGAGTTGCTGGACCACAGACATTGCAGCACTTGACAACAGACACTCCTTCAGCTACTCCTCACCCATCTCAGACCCTCTGCCCGCTCAGCCAGGGCAGCCAGCAGAGTTTTCTGTCCAAAAGTTGGAGTATTTTCTGCTGACATTATTCAGTGTGCCCGGGGATGCTGCTGGTGTAGGGGCTGTGTTTGTAATGCCAATGGGACAAAGCTGACTGATCTCCACCTGGGTTTATGGCTTCTCTGAGGCCAGAACTACATGTCTTTCCTACTGCTGCACTGAACTGGTAACTACAGGAAACAGCTCCCAG